TCAGCGACCCTCCAGTTTTGCCTCCAGTTTGTTGCTGTTTCATTATCGATTCGGCTTAAATTTTGTGGAATCGGCTTAAATTTTGTCGAACCGGCTTAAATTTTGTCGAATCGAATCAAAAAGCTGCTGATATAACTTCAAACTTTTTTTTGCTTGAAGTTAAGTTAACAGCGTTGGAGAGACTCCAATCGCCAAGAGGAGTTTTCTCGAAATAGCACATGTTCTGGGGAAAAAGTAAAAGTGTTATAAAAAAGCGTTTTTTTTTTTTTTTTTCTTCTTTTTTTTTACTCTACCTCATCGTATGCTTTCACGCGCGGGATGGCCTTCGAATAAGGATAAGACGTCATGATTCTTTTCAAGTTTGCCAAAAACGAAATTCGATCCCGGAGTACCTTCTTGATATGTAAAGGCAAAAAAGAACAAGCCTTTACACACGTACCAGTTTTCGACAGGCCGAGACACACCTACGGTTTTTTAGAGTCGCGTGATCCATTTTTTTCTTACGTGGCGCGTATTTATTACTTCTCTTTAAGATGAAGATGTTATACAGCATAAGAAAATAAAAGAAGATGAAGAGAAGAAGGGAAGGAAAAAAAATGTTTGAATGGTTTTATTTTTAGATGATAAACAAGAGCTGGCTTATGTCAGGATGATTTAATTGTTTGTTATTTAATCAGAAAATCATGTGAACGAGTTTATTTACGCTTTTCTTAAGAACAACCAATTTTTCCTTATGGGCAGCCAAAGTGCACGTAGTCACAACGTAAAATCTGTGATTTGACTGTCCTTTAGACCTGGAAACAGCAATATATAAGCAAAAACAATATAATAATTACGAATAAATGCATACTGAACGATTTATACTTTTTTCGACAATTCTATCATCACTCTTTCGGCTTTGAGCTCGTTTGATCTTAATCTTACACAGAAATAGTAAAGTAAAGTCCAAATGAAAAGCTGAAAGTAAGCTATAACACACACACATACTGGTGTAACATTTTTTTTATGATAAGTTTGTTTCAAGCTCAAGATGATAAGTTATGTCGACCTCTTGGTGTCTACTAAAGTATCATAAGCCGACATTACGACTACGCGCACCCTGTATGTACCTAAGAAAAATGGCTCTCCCTAAGAAAATTTGGCTTTCGTTTTTTCGTGTCTTTTATTCTGACTTCAGAGACGAATTTCTTTCGAAGAAAAAGTGGGAACCTAGTCTTTTATCCTTAGTGGTATAAATTTAAGAAGCCAAACAGACTTGTTTAACTACCTAGATTGAAATAAAAGACGTTCAGGTACAAAACATATTATTTTATTATAGTACAACGGCTATTCTATAAATAAGTCAACATGACTGTGTGTCAGACAAATGTATTTAACTTTGCTAAATTCGCAATTGCGTCCAACTGTTATACCACTCTAAAAAACAGTGCCAGAAAATCCTGAGATTATACTTGAAGGCATAGTTTAACACAAAACTAAATCTTTTTTAACATATTATTTTTATTATTTGGAAATCTCTGAATCAATGAAATTATTCGCTGCAGCACATTATCCGTTTATTTTGGTGGACATGCCATTTTTGTACACACTATTCCATGGCTAGAACAACTACACGTATTACAATCCATCTTAAAACTACCAGCCCCATGGTTTTTTCGGCATCTCGCAAGCGAATATTCCTGCGCAGAAGCAGAACCAGTTTGAAGTAAGACACAAGCCAAGAGCGCAATCAAAAAGATACTTTTCATAATTTATAATAATGCCACATTAGCTCGATGTCTGATAATAAGAGCCCTTTTATAACAAATTTAAACGTTTGTTCTCCTTATTATGTATCTTATCCCTTATAATAAAAACTGTCCGTTTGCTTATATAGTAAGAGAACGATTATTCAAAAAAAAAAAAAAAAAAAGCAGGAATAGAGTGTACGAAACACTCATAAATTTCAGAGTGGGATCCTAAATATGAGAACCACGTTAAATCATACTGATACATATAATTCAACCTGTTCTATATGTAATTTGAATATAAGCCTGACTTATTTCTACAAAGACGTTAATCGTAGCTAAATTATCAGGAGAAAACATTTTGAAAGATTTGCAGTAGGGTTTACTCCTTGCATTAAATTATGCATTTCCAATCTGTTGGTATCCAATTGGGGATAGAGCCTCGTAACTACGAGTCAAAGACGGTAATTACCATATACATCCAGATACAACTCAGAAATATTTTGAAAAAAAAATTACGACAGTTTAGACATAGTTGTAAGGATTTCTCGAATTTTATTCTTTATATTATAGTGTATCTGGAGTTTATGGAGCTTAGCTACGTTCATTAGAACGACTGCACTTATTTTGGTAATAAAGACGATGCATAAAATACCGTTATTTTTAGGTGTCTTTATCCAGTCTGAGTTCAAATACATCTACTGTATAAAGGAGAGCGATATTCTAGGTAAAGGTGCCCTTAAACCGAAAATAAATATTTGTCAAATTCTGTGGCTGACCTTTATTAAAAAAAATACTCTCAGCAGCAGATATCATTATTTTGCGGAAGTAATGAAGCCGAGGAATTCGAATTAACTTGATAATAAAAGCTATCTCAATTAAAACCATACACACTTGGATGCAACCTATACCTCTATATTGTGCAACTGCTATACCTCTAAAGTATTGGCATAAGTACCATATAGATATTTGTAGAAATAACTGGGCTGTTACATACAGCTCTATTGTGTTTGATTGAGGCAATACAAGAAAAAAAATAGCCGAAAAAAAAAACTAATTCTAAGACGCATAGCTAAAAAAAATAAAACTCTAAAGACAACGCTTTTTTTTTATTATTTGTCAATTTTATCATATTGCTTTTTAGTTATCAATGAAGAAATTTCACTTGATCATTTTTTATTTTGGTCAACACAGATTGTCTGTGCATACTATTCCACGGTTAGAGCATCTACATGTATTACAATTAATTATGAAAGCCTCAACGCCACGGTCTTGTCGGCATTTTGCAAGTGAATATCGCTCTGCTGAAATGGAACTGGATTGAAACAAGACACAGGATAGGAAAATTACAAATAAGGTGGGTTTCATTTTTACTATGATAATAAAAGGATGGTTCAAATAAATCCTTTATATACTTGACCGAAAAGCATTGGCTGATTCATGATGCACATCATATGGTATAATGAATTGCTTGCTTACCCATATCTATTAGACACCCCTTAAAAACACAATGTTACGTATAAATAAAAGGCAGAGTAAAAAGATCCAAACACTACTAATGATGACTATATTTTATGTAAAACTGTTGTTGTTATCTCAAATAATGCAAATGAAACGTGAAAAGATAGCATTATCTATTTGCGACGAAGAGCTAAACATAACTGGATTCCCTTAGCCTTATTTATAGGATTTTATACACTGTAGCTGATGCATTATCCAGAGTGTCAATATTCATTCGGTACATATGTTATACATTATTGTGATTTCGACATTACATAATAAATCTGAAAGTCTTTATAAATATGTGTTATAGTTAGTGTCGGTTATAACAGCGTTTTCTAATAAATACTATTCATGCTTGTAAACAATCAAATTTGAGTAGGTGCATAGTTAAGATCAAATTTGTCTAATTTGATATAATTGGTGCATCCAAATTCATTGTCATTGTGCTTATTACATGACCGTCTTCATTATAACCAATGCTCTTTCGAGCCATTATAGGCTTTCGTAAATGGTGTAATTTTTATTAATTATCTCTTACTTGGCATTTAAATGTTTTCTCCTGATTTTTTGTATCCAATGCCTGGTCATACGAACCCTTGCCAACACAGAAAGTATATATATCATAAAGAGATTAACCAAGATTTTTTTTATTTACAATAGATTAAACATAAATAAATAATTAACACAATTAAGTAAAAGTGATGAGCGGGGGTATATAAAGGTGATTTTACAGGTCAGTCTCATCCCTCAGCATGTCTATAAAGAAGAGTTAGCACTGTGTATATGAGTTGCTCATATAAAGGGACCTTACCAGACCAGATACTATGGTTCATAGACTCCATCAAACCATCAGATATATCTATTGGCATTTCTCCATTTCCATCAATCAATAACCAGTTTTGCCTAGAAGCAGGGCTTAAATTAGGAAAAGGTGAATAGGGCGATAATCCATTGCCCAAGCGTCCAGAGGCTTCAAAGTCTGTCATTGGTGATGAAGGTATACTCGACGTTCCCGGGGCTACTGCTAGTGAATATCCCCCACCAGAGTATGTCGGGTCGTATTGGTTATCCATGGATGAGGTCGACATGGGGGAAACAGGGATACTTGCCGTTCCAGTGGTCATTGGTGATGATTGGGGTGTCACACCCGAGACATTATCAATCACAATACGGGGAACATTGGCTGATGATTTCTTTTGCCGTTCTTTGGGTTTATTCAAAAAGTTGATGGGGCTGTCCATTTGAGAAGAGGGCGAACCAAATTCAAAATGACTAGAGTTCGTTACGCCCAATTTCTTAACTTCATCTTCGTCTCGCTTCTTCCATAACTGTTTGATAAAACGTCTTTTCTTAATTTGTGAAATAAAGAAACCAGCAGCTTTTTCTAAATGATATTCTTGAGTAAGCTGTTCGATTTTTTCTAAGCGTGCAATAAGTGGATCAAGTCTGGCAGGGAAAAAGTGAGTATTTAAACCATATGTAATTTTTTTTTATTTAGACTAACCTTAGGGATGTTGAGATGTTGATAAATCGATATGACATGATTGTCAGTACGCTTGCAAAAGGGATTCCTCTTGACGTTTCTGTTCTCAAAATTTCCTAAATCACAAGATAAATTTAATATCACCGTTTAAACAACGTAAATTTGAAGTTACCTTGTAATAGAGGTTATATTCCAGCCTCTTTTTCCTAGTCGCTTCGACATCTAATTTACTAAGACACTTGTTCATTGCTTTAATGTCAACATCCAAAACTGCGTTGCTGTATCCACTACTGTAACCACTTTTGACGCCAGGAGATCTTGGACTAGCGGAAGCAGAGATGGATTTCTCACCAGTCTTGGATCTTCTACCGAGATTAGTAAGATTTTCTATACTGAACGAATCGTCATAAATTTTAAATGTAAACCGGCCCGTCATTTTTCGAAGTAGTTTTGCTACATCTTCTTTTTGGATGTATCCTGTTCCTTGTGTATCAATATCTGCCCATGCATGTTTGAACCTAAACATGAAATAATGAGACACTTTAAACCTGTCGACAGTTTGAATCAACTTACATTCGGAGATCAGCTTTTGTGATATTAGTGAACCGAGTTCTTGTCTCATAGGCGTATTCAAAGTTGCTGATGATAACCTACAAAGAATGTCAGCAACAGCTCGCATACTAACCTAAAGTTTCACTTACCGCTGTAAACAAGTTCATAAAGATATGTGTACAAACAATGTAAAACACATTAAACAAAAAGTATGCCCAAAATGGTGATCCACAATCATCTTCAAGATAATTTGAAGACGCAATACAGTTGGGATACGTGACGGTATAATCCACAATTATAGCATTCCAAGCTTCTCCTGTTGTCGCACGAACAAGTAATAACAATGCATTGCCATAGTCCCGAAAGTTTGTATGCGCGGTACCGTAGATACCATATTTTGTTAGGCCGAAAAATTCCATAAATAACATCGCAAACAAACACATGGAAACCATAAACACCGCCGACACTTGGATGATGGAAGGCATCGATTTACTATAAATAAATGAGTATCACTCTCCGTAAATTCTAAAGATAAAACTTACGCAATAGTATGATAGAGGGTTTGAAGGGAATCAATGCCTTCGCCGAGACGAAAAGCAGCCAGAACTAAACAGTATCTTTCCACCCGTAATGTCCACAAATCAGGCAACGCGAAACGAAGAATCAAGAGAAATAGGGCACTAGTGGCAATTAAACAATCAAACCAGTTCCATTTGCTGCGAATCCACTAAAAATAAAAAAATAAATCAGCACGTTGCTCCATAAGTCGAAGCATACATATAGCCTACCTTTTTCCATCCTAGACCGAGAAGTTTGATGATGCACTCCACCACATAAACAATTGTGAACACCAAATACAAATAGTCTACCAACGTAAGTTAAAAAAAACATATATAAGTGACTGATTGTCCATATCTACCTTGAGTTTCCTGAAGCCAAGTAGGCTCATTTTTAAATTCACTAGCGATAGCAATAATATTCAAGCAAATAATGGTCATCATAAACCGGTTAAATTTTCCATGCTTCTCAATCACCAAATCATGACAAAACCGTCCAATTTTTGTCTTGGGTTTTAACACCTTGATAGTCGGTTTTACATTTGCTAATAAACGTTGGAGATCACAATACTGTCTTTGAGCGGTTGTTAGCGTTGTAATGCCACTTCTTTCTTTGAATTTTTCAATGATTACGCCGACAAACAATTGAATGGTTCCTTGCGAAATAATCATGAAGACGATATAGAAAATACTATGATATACTGCCTTAGGGCCCCAATTAAACTGTGGCTGATAATCCGGGTCATCTGGTGTACTCATAGCACTAAACAAAGAGTCGACCCATCCTTCTGTGGATGTCAATGAGAATAAATGCTGTAAAGCCGAAGGAAAGTTGTCATAGGAGTAAAATCCGTTTTCCGGGTTCTGCCATACACGCGGAATCCACATGTTGACCTCGATGTCGTCGTCGCTACTGATATTGTTGTAATATTCACCAATACATTCTCCTCGCGTTAATACCGAATCGTCATTACATAACCACATTAGACCACCAAAAATGTTAACACCATAAATTGAAAATGGGATCAACACTAAAAACGTGAATATCAATGCATCCAACATGAGAGGGAAAGCATAAAATAAGGATACAAAAATGTCACGGACACCATTAAAGTAACGGATCAATCGTAAAATACGAAGACTACGAAATGTGCTCAAACCTCGTGGTGCTTCTTCAGAACCCATAAAAATAGTGATGATATTCAACACGATAACGCAGATATCTAACTGATTCCAATGATTTCGCAAATAAGCATTCGGTGTTAATAAAAATCCATCTGCAATAATACGGATAGCCAGTTCTAGCAAAAATACCACACTGAGAGCGATTTCTATAGTGTTGTACGTCTCCTGTTTTAAAGTATCTTTTCGAATCAGTCTTGTTGAAGGTTCGTCTAGAATTACCATGAGAATGCTGACAAACACACAAGCCATTACAATCCAATTGAAAAGATTTTGTTTTTCCGCTTGTCCATTATCGCTAGAGCCTACTAGTTGCTTACACCAATATCTGACTCGACTTCGGGTTGAAAAGAGAAATAACGAGCTAACAACAGGCGTACTTTCCCTTACGGCTTCACGATTTTCCTCAGCAGCAATTATATCGTAATCCTCGGGTGCCTCTTCTGCATCCTGCATAAACGGATTTATAGGAGCTGCTTTTATACTCGTCTTTTTTTGAAGAAATGGGATACGCTGTCTAAGTTTGGAATATAAGACTGTAATTTTCCTTTCAATCCATGTTGGCGTTTTCAGTTCTTCTCGATTAGGTTTGGTTTTTGGTAAATCAGTCAATAATTCGGTCAAATCGGCTTGTGTCAAGGGAGCTGTTAAATTGGCTGGTAATTTTGGTATCTGAACAGTCTTGTTTTCATTATGATAATAGAAGGGTCGAAACAATTTTAACAGAATTGTTTCGGTTCTGTCTGTGTCTTTAAATCTATGTCTATGAATGAAATCCTTGATTTGGTAATGACGTATATAATCATCGCTTAATTCAAAATTCTCTAGAACGACCGCAATGTAAAGACCAGACATGATGTATCTACCAAATGCAAAATAAAATGATAAAGCGATGGCAGCATAGATGGATCCTTGCCCGGTTTGACTGGCCATAGCATTATATAGTACAGCTGTCCATGTTTCACTAGTATAGACTACAATTAAGGAAACGAACGATTCCCAAAATGTATCAAAACGATTACCGGATTCCGAGATATCTAAGACATCGCCGTAATCACCACCAAACATCTGCATAAATACCGTAGCACATAACGCGGTTGCCAATACCAGAAAGACCATGACGTAGAGTACACTTTCACCCGTTCCTAAAGCAGCAGACTGATGAAAAATGGTTTTAGTTACTTCGGTTTAAATCAAAATGTATGTGTGTGGGTGTGTGTGGGTGTGTGTGTGTATTTTGAATGATAATATCTTACTAGGAGACTCCTCACACGAGGTATACAAATGAATAGCCGATACATTCTCAGTATCTGAAAAATTGTTAGGTACTTGTACACCCAAGAATCTTGAATCATCGGCAATTGTATCACGCATGTGCTGATGACCAAGAACAAGTCAAATAAATTACGTTTTGTCGACCAAAAATTCATCCAGCTTGCGGCGCCCACTGTTCTTAATATAATCTCGACGGCAAAAACAAACGTGAAACTTGTTTCCGCATTATCAATCAACTCCAGTAAATGCTCGCTGGCATAAAATGACCGGAGGCACATGAAGACCATATCAAACAATACCAAGAATCCTCCAAAGTAAAAAAATGTCCTACTCTTCACTAGCCTCACAATCCACCACCTCAGTTTTACTCGAGTCATACCGCGTCCCAGCTCCTCTGGTGGGTTATCAAACATCCACATGGCTTCGTCATCAAGTCCCTCAGCATCTCGTAAAACTGGGTAGCCTTTCTTCTTTGCAGTAAATGCACTCACAGAGCTGACGGCACGAACACGTGCAAACGCCGAAGTGATAACAGCTAAAAATAAATTACATGTTAGTCATTCACATCAATGACCTGATACTCTCGTCACCTTACCAAATAGTAAAAACGTTAATACAAACGCGAGAATATAGACACCCAGACAATAATATAAGGCAGCAACAGTTGAATCTGCATCTTGTGTTTGATACATGAGATCGGTCCACAATTCCAATGACACAAAGGTATAGACACTGAGTAATGAAAAGAAAATGTTGTCGTAATTAACAAATCCGCTTTGCGGGTTATTGACTGGGTCTTCCATACAAATTTGGCCTGCATTACATATAAATCCATGGTACCCCGGATAACTTGTTTCACCCGTTTCCAGATTGTAAGCACCTGTAATTGTGGATCCATTCATGTATCCTGAGCAAAACCGAGCGGGTTCTACTAGTTGCACTATTAAATTAATTAGAGACAAAGGGACCAGAAAGAATTTTAATCTGTTAACACTTACAAGCATTATCAGCACCAGTATAATAACACCGTCTAGAGAAAATGCCCTGAAAAGAGATGAGACCAAAAAGGGCAAACAAGAGCAAAAAGAAAAAGATCAATCCAGAAACAGCCAATAAAATATCCCAACTTGTTTCTAATGATTTTAAAATGACTGCAGTACCGGGTAAGATGGATAGTAAATGAATAGGTCTTAGAGCACCTAATGATTTAAACAATGAGATATAATGATATCCATATATCATGAACACAAAATCTACCCAATATGAAAGCACTGAAATTGCATCCAACACGTTTCCAAAACTGTTTAAATAAGCCCGATGGTGTCTGATGAATTCAAGTTTGGATGCAGTTTCATTTTCATTTGGGTTGCTGTCTTGCTGTACAGGCAAAAGCTTGCTTCTCAAGTATGTCCATAAGGAAGGTGGGGTGGATGTAGGCGGCAGCACAAGTCCATATGAAATAATTTTTCCGATGACTTCAATTGTGTAAATGGACTGGATGAAAAAGATTGGATAATGTGTCCATTGGGCACCAAACACCGTCTTTTGCTCATTTGATGTGATGGGAGCACAGGCTAGAAGGAACCAATGAAGTATCATTAAAAAGAAAATACATGTTTCTACATATCTTGAAACTTTTTGTTTAACTTTTAGGGGTAACAAAAAAAAAAACGTGAGGCATCAAAAAGTATTATTTACCTATTACGGATGGTCTTCCAAACAAAGGTGCGAAATTTATTGTTTGGTGTGAAAATATACAATGAGTTTCCCTGAAGAGGGTTTGGCATAAGTGGTTCCCATGACGAAGAACTTGGTTTTGGTGGTGGTATAATTAAAGGGGCTTCGTGTAAAGACAACTTTTTTTCTATGGTGGATTCGTAATCGATTGATTTTCCATCTATGCTTGTATTGACGGACAGCCAGGAGAATCGATTGCTATTTCTGTTACTATGATTTATTAGGTTAGGTGATGCAGAAAGTTGCTGTGTTTTTTCATTGGATAGAGAGAATTTGGGCGAGTCTGGTTTCAAAATATTGACGTGCTCCTCCTGCTGACTGAAGTCAAAATTCTCTTGTTTAGATACATTTTTTGCTTCTGGTGCGCGAGAATGCACGACTCTAATCACAGCATGGTATAAAAGGTCCAATAAATAATATTTACTCTTGTTGTCAGATTTAAGTAAATGTTGATCTGGTCTTTCGTAATTCGGGCTTGGTTTCTCGGATTGTTTATCCATATAGCGATGATTAGCACTATAGGCTCGCATTGAAACACTATTGCGATTCGATGAACCGCTGATGGATGTAGCAGCATTTTTGTTATTCTTTCCTTTGGAGGATCCTGATGTACTTGATTTAAATGCATCCAGATCGTAACTCCATTCGCTGTGATGCTGAGATTTTTCGGGTTCACTTCGGTTTGAATGGGAAATTCGGGATGAATTGATACGGCGTGATCGTAGGCCTGATAAGCGATCATTTGGTGTGGATATCCCTAAACCTGCTGTTACTGCACTACTTGGCGAGAAATAATCCTGTTGTTGGCTGTTCTTTTCTTTCTGTATCAATAACCGATCCAGTTTGTTTTTACGCTGTAGTAAGTCCTTGGTTAGAGGCAAAGCCGCTGTGGTCTGACGTAGTGAAACATTCGTTGGTTCGATAAGGGAGCTGGAAGTGGGTTCTGTCAACACAATTTGCGGAATGGGACTCATTGACGCATCTGCTTGTCGTTTATTTCCATTAATATCTGGCTGCCCACCAGAATCAGGCATGTCTTGTTAAAAAAATGGTTTTTTTTTTCTAATGAATGTGAAAGAGGAATGAAATAACAAGAATAAATAACGAGGAAAAAGAGAGACGTTGTGACTCTTAATTAACGTTTGTGTGACACTATATTTGTCTTTGATCCATCATCTAATCTCCCAAAATAAACAAGCTGCAAAAATGGATTATATAACCACTTGCTTGCAGCTGCTCATTAAACTCTGGATGATACCAATGCTGACCGATTAGCTAAAATGCATATCTGCCGAGTGAATAACTCTCTAGCTTGGACCTACCAATTTAGAGTTTTCGTTGCCTTCCGATCAGAACTTCTAGCCGAGTCATATGCTAATGTTTACATAGTTTTAGTATGTGATGATGTTTCATCGATGGTCCTCCCAATTATTGTAATAAAAAAGTAGTGACAGCTATGTTATGAAATACTATCCAAGACAGTCCATATATTTAAATACTTTACGGATACATTTATCAAATTAACGGTTAAAAGGAATTCGGTTTTATCTATAAATACCAAAATAAGCTCCCTGTATAAAGATATTTTCGCAGCTCGGGTACCACTTTTTTTTTTAACATAGAAGCTTCGTAATTTGGGCTTTTGTTATTTGCTGAATTCAATAAAAGGCGTCCTGCCAATATCTTGTTATGCGTATTTGTTTGTTGATTGGGATTATACGTAGCAACAGGCCATAAAACTCACAAAAACATTCGTCTTGTAGTTCGTTCATGCAGCAAGATAAATTACATGGTCTATTCGTGGAATTGGGTTTATATAAAATAAACAGAAATCGATTTGAAATTAATCAAAATGCAAATGATGTTGAGGTGGCACTAATCCAAAAAAATATAAGTCAATCAAATGTGGACAAGAGTTACCCCAATAAAACACCGCCATCAGGCAGCAGCATATACAAATTCGCTGCTTTAATTATATAAAAAATGCTTTCTTTTCGTACAAAAGCTTTAAATATCGATTAAAATGAGACTGGCCATATATGGCTGTGTATCCTCTATACTGGCTATAGGTGTGGTACTATCAGCAATGCATCAACGTTCTAACTTTTATGCTGCATGTATTTATCTTTCGAAATCAAGCGCCTGTATGATGGTAAAAGTCTATCCATATAATAAGTGTTGAGAATGTCCTATTAAATAGTCAATTAGATTCTTTTAAATATGGGCTTAATTGTCTCTCTCTTGTTTGGTAAAGGCCTACAAACTATTTTCTTTGGAAGATTAAGAGCAATTGAAGTTGAGGTAAAAACAAGTTTTTCGTTTTTTATTCTCGAATGTTGCTAATGATAAGAATAATAAACAGCATTTATATGAAAGGTCGTGGTACGCAGTAACAGAAACATGTCTTGCCATGACCATCTTTCGAGAAGAATTCGATTTGCAATTCATTGTTGTGTTCACTACTTTATTATTCTTAAAAATATTTCATTGGTTATGCCAAGATCGCGTTGAATATGTAAGTTTCTGTTTCATAGCCTCATTCTCTTCTTTTGGACTTAAATATCCCATTAGATGGAACAATCGCCAACGAATCGTGTTACATTCCATCTTCGTATTGTGAATCTCCTGGCAATACTTTTGATAATTGATTCCGTGTTGGCTAACCATGCTATCAATGTGACACTTACAAAAGGTCCTAATATGATGATTATGTTTGGGTTTGAAGTAAAAGCTTACTAACAGTATGACGAATGACGTGGCACTGACTCTATCTTTTTTTTTCTCTCTAAAGTACACTGTACTTATCTGCACAATACTATCAATTATTGGAAAATATGTGTTGAATGTGATTGATTTACGAAGCGAACAAACTTGGGAAGGAAAATCAATGTTTGTGTTTTACTTGGATCTTGTTACGGATTTTTTCAAGCTTGTCACCTATTTAGTTTTCTTTTTATACATTTGCTTCAATTATCAACTCCCCCTCCATATAGTCAGAGATGTATACGTGACTTTCCGATCATTCGTACAAAAGTGCAGAGATCTTTATCGTTATAGACGTGCTACACGCAATATGAACGAACTTTACCCCAATGCAACAGCTGAAGACTTGACTCGCTCTAGTGATAGTACGTGTATTATTTGTAGAGAGGAAATGCAGATTGTTGATACCACATTGGATGAGGATAACCCAGAGGCTGCAGCGTACAGAGGTGATACGGATCAAAATTTGGATCAGCCCAAAAAACTTCCTTGTGGACATATCTTTCATTTTCATTGCCTGCGTAGCTGGCTGGAGAGACAACAAACCTGCCCTACGTGTCGCCGATCTGTATTGGTAGAGAGTGAGTATACGTTTTATTTTTCTTTCTTTTTTTGTGGTATTTATTTAAATGCATGATAGACAATACTCCCACACCAGCACCGGTAGTAAATGAACCACAACCCTTTGGGCAACAACCACAACCCTTTGGGCAACAACCACAACCTTTTGGACAGCAGCCACAACCTTTTGGACAGCAACCACAACCTTTTGGACAACAACCAAATCCTCAGCATCAACAACAGGGACAAGAGCATGCCCAATACCAGCACACACCCCATTTCCAACAACATCCTCAATACCAGCAACAACCACAGCCACATCAAGCACATCCACATCTTTTTGAGCAGCATCCTGTATTTAATCAACAGCAGCAAGGAGGAGGATTTACAAATCATTTAGGTTCATCATTTAATGTACTCACACCCTCTACGCAACCGAGCCCCATACCTGGCCTTATTCCATTAGTACCTATGGGTGCATTTCATCAAGATGGGGACTTACCTATTCCATTACCTGCTAATTTATCAGACGCAGAATTGAGCACATTATCTACTGTTACGAGAGAGGCCATGGAACAACGATTGAAAGTGCTGGAGACAGTGCAGAACCAAATTTTACAGTCAATGCAAACGCTTACACAAGTTCTGAGTGTGATTCCTGTGCCACAGACTGATGGTGTGCCACAGGCTGAGACGCCAGCCGAAACACAAGCTAAAGCACAAGGTGAATCATCTTCTCTTACGCCGAAAACTACAACTTCTACCGCAGCATCATTAATTGAATTAAGCGATCCTGAAGAAGAAATGAGTAGTAGACGTAGGGAGAAGATGCCATCTTCAGACAACGCAACAAATATTTAGTGTATTTAATCCACCCATTCCCCCCCCCACACACACACACACACATATTTTGCACTTTTTATTAATAAATTGGACATTGTGTTAACTGTACAGGCTTTTTATTGAAATGGAATAATGTTGATACATGCAAGTAAGTGGTATTATAATTAATTTTTTGCTTCCTTTTTTTTTTTTTTTTTTTTTTTTTTTTTTTTAGACAGGATCAATAAAGACACATTCGTAAAGCTCTACCAAGTGCACGAGCCCATTATCAAGGACAAATGTACTTGGCAAAACAATATCCATTGCATCTCCTGTATCCGAGGTAAAAATGATTTGTTTTGTTGATCCATCTAAATCCACCATGGATGAGATTTTTCCGTGAGTTGAAAACAGGTTCATGATACGATCACAATAGCAATGGAGAACATCCGTTTTGGGTAATCCAATGAGTACGCATGCCTTTGAAGTGCCGTGTGGCTTCCAACGCTTCATGGGTTTATATAATGGTCTATTACCATCTATGCCACATAATGAGTCGTATTTCACAATTTCCGCTATTTTCTTGTACAGAATCTCGAAACATATACCACTATGTAACACAGTGAAGGCCCCTCTCAACACATCTCGAAATCTTTCGCCATCTGCCCCAGCTCTAACATTAAATAAAAAAGATGAGATTTAGCTTTTCCCAAACCCTCACTCGAGATATATTCATGAATAGTTGTATGTAACCATGTACTCACGCTATGTTAGATTTCACCATAAAAGGGTCCTCAATGGCTATATCATTTTGCTTCCAAACCGACTTTATAGCGGTCTTGCCGCCAAATTTGAGAGAGACAGCGTATTTTTCATAGTCAAATTCATAACCGTAATAATAAAAAAAGTCGATAAGCAACTCTCCCACACTTGATTCGTTTTTTGAATGCCAATATAACTTGCCCGTATCCGGATTTTGTTGAACAAAGTAAGGTGTTTGTGGTTGTGTATTATCGTAGGAAACGCAATTATGGTATCTAGCTGCAATCCCCACTCTTTCTGATCCATAAATCACTGTATCCCAAAAAGGTTTATTGGAAGCACAATCGGGTATATAACACTCGTCATCATTTCTGTTGTGATTGATATGCTGTAAATTGGGAATAACAGGTGTATCCAACTGTGAAAGATATGCTAATGCCATAATGACATAGCCGTAGTATCGCACACCATTTGAAATTTGAGCTATATTTATATCGTTCTTTTTAAACATCCATGTATACTAAAGCCTCATCTAACTTACATGCAAATATGTTTCGACCGCGACCAAACACTTTGATGGCGTACAGAAGAGGTTGTACACGAGGATCGAGTGTCAAATAATGGCCAATCAAGTTTGTACTTTCAGTGAATATTCCATTGTTGAAATTATACTCGATGGTTGCTTTATCAAGCTTCGTGCGCACCGAGCCAATGTCTTCACTAAAATGAAACTTATCTCCACCGTGGCGATAAAATATATCGATGGCCACATCGATGCAGTAAGGTTCATCATTGTTTCCACGGTAGGGATCTTTCGAAGTAACTAGTCGGCTTAAGTCAGGTTCGTCCATCTCAATACATATATTGAGTGGTGAATTTAAAAATGACACACCATATATATGGGAACTACATAATTATTAGCCATGTGATAGTTTTATCGTAGACTTGAATTACTAACCCAAATGGAATGAACTTCATGTAATGGCAAGGCCAATGTTTTCGGAATATCGATCGCACGTATTCGACAATTTTATCTCTTGCTTCGTCAGCCAATGGACTAGGCTAAAGTAAACAGTTAGATCGCTGTTTTATTGACATGTTTCACTGCCTTACTTTTTCCAATAGACTTAATTCGGCAGTAAGGCTGCATTTGTTGTAACTTCTGGGGAAAAATACGTACAGTAATGGATTACCGTCAAGCTGAACAAGATCAGCAAAAAGCTTCTTTATATAACGCGAATCGGTTATATATTGTTTATAGTCGAACTTTTCGATAGCGAGATTTGCACCCAGTTCGGGAAAAGCTTTGAGCTGTTTGACGAGATCGAACAAATCGTGTTGATTCCAATGATGTTGATGTATGACATATGGCTGCCAAGGTAAACGACGAACAGTCAAGTTTTTGTCGTGCAACAACCTCCGAAAATTTCCATAGTCTTCGAGAAGAGTACGTCGAAACATCTTTTCATCCTTCGACCTTGGATGCTTTAAATTCATTGTTGCTATTTTATTTTATTTTTTGGCGTGAAGAAAGACAGATAAATCTATTTCGAGATGCGCAGTCCATTTAAATAAATGTCCCGGGCACGCGTTTGTGCATAATCGTGAATTTTAAATTAGTGTTTTCGTTCCTATTGGCGACCAAAATTTTTATCGAATGGCAACCCTATAGCAATGACGATCCGTATCCCGAAATATCACCCATGTCTCGGGAAAGGCAGAACACAAGTTGGTATGTGTAAATAAATAAATTCTATTATGACTAACCTGTTCATGAGATAATGTTTCTGTAAAAAAAAAAAAAAAAAATAGGCAAGGTTACCTGTTTATACCAAGATACAGTATAATAAAATTGCTAGTATTACACAACGAGTATGCCTGTAGTTTATATATTAACTTTGTTCTTGAGATAATGAAATAATGAAATGAAAAGATAACAAAAATCATCCCCGGTGAAAAAAAAAACATAATCAATGCTGTCGTTACTCCATTTTCTTTCTCCCTGACACTTCTATTGTTCTTGTTAACAATATAATCAATATGTAAATCACAAAAATTCATCTAATATATTTGAAGACAATGTTTGCATCTACTTTTCTCTTTCACTGTTTCCCAACAAGTAAAAGTCAAGATAATATTTAGCTGGGGGTTACTCAGACCTTTGCGTATAACATTTAGACAATATGCATGTGAATCGTGAAGTATGAGGGCTTTGATGTTAATAAGGTCTTTTGTAAACTTCTTAGCATGTTTCTTTTACTAATTATTTTTGAATTTACTTATGGTTTAACAATTTAATTAAAGCAAACTTGACAAGAACAACCCGATATAATTTAAAGACAAAGCAACAACAAGCTATCTGTATAATATCTTGATTATAAGCTATCCAACAAAGAGATACTCCATTATTGTCTTGTTCAATGCAAGTAACAATGTTATCCCTGTATTATAAATAGACATATTTGATGTGCTATCTTTTTTAGACAAAAATTCGTGTTTTGACCATGCTTATCAAGAATACTATAGAGCAATAGACGAGCAAGAATTAAATTGACAAGAAGATTTGAAAAACGTGCTTATCAATCAGTTATTGTTAAGCACTGTCAAAATCGATTTAAGCATGGTGATCAAACCTTCTGGAATAGGTACATTGACACAGAATTAGACTAAAAGCACTTATTTTAATTTAATTCTGATCGCCATTCAGAAGCTATTTATTACAGATAAAAAAAAAAGAAATGATTACATGTATATCTAAATCACAATACGACGAGCATATTTAGGAAATGCGGGCTTGGTAGATTGAGGTGGTACAGGTGGAGGTGGTATATGGTCTGTGTTTGGGCTTGTATTAGGTAACGTTGTATGTTGTTGACGTGGTGTAGATACTAAGGAATCAGTCGATTCAAATGGGTTCTTATTTTCTTCCTCCAGAAACTTTGGCTTAAACTCCTTTGTCAATAAAAGCGAGCTACCAGTACTCATAATTTTTTCTAGGCTATCTTGGTTTAATGAAGCACGTCCGCTGTGACGTGTGCGTGATGAATCCGCTGGAGGACCCAGCATATTGGCAGAAGGGACAGATTTAGATCTAGAATGACCTGGGTATATTGCTTTTGTAGGTGGTAATTGTGTAGATTGAGTCACTTGTGCAGGTTGGGCCACTCTCTTATTAGGTAAAGAAATCATCCAACTGGGCATATCTGCTGTTTGTGACGTTGAATTGATTAAAGCATCAATTGCTTGGTTTTGGAATCTTGGCAAAGGTGCTACAGAAAAGGAAAAATTGGTAATAGACGTCAGTGGTCACTCATTGATTTTATGATACCGTTACATTGACTTTACCTGCTAGAAAAACGTTTTCCTTGCTTACTTTTCTGCCAAGTTGTGCATGAGCAACGAGCCGTAACATTGCAAAAAACTGTTGACGATTTAAACCATCCTTCTCATCTTGAAATAGTGCAAGAATGCCCTCCAAGATATGGTCAGGCAGACTGGAACCTGATACGAAATTGAAAATAGCCTTGTTATCAGCTTTCCCTATGCCAAAAGGATCCAAATCTCTCCACCAACCAAGATATGTATCATGCTCAATGCTTGATAAATCTTGCAAACTCACTTGCGGTGTTTCCAGATGATCTCTCTGTGTTGACAATCTCTTCATAAATACTTGCGACCGTCTTTCATTATCTTTATGGCGTAACGAGAACGTAGACTTTAGTTTGTTCATCGATGAAGAAGAAAAAAGAGAATATTTATGCGCTTTTTTTTTTTTGACTTGTGAGACCTTATTTAAACCCATTTCAGACGAATCAAAATTCACTATCAGAAATAAAGATTACGTTTTTTTTTTATATATTTATTTTTTTCAGTTTGTAAAGAATATGTCCTTGCCCAATAATGTTACCCAAGATGTACAAGTAATGTCACCTGATTCGGCCTCGTCGTCGTCTTTATCTGCGTTCTTGGATAGTGCAAGTAATGTGGATAAGCCTTTGCCACCAAACCCCTCAAGATCTTTATCGGCCACGACATTAACGATGAGATCGCCTCCTAGTGGCGGTGGTAGTCAAACGAAACGACATAGTATTCGCTCACAACATCCCTCTTCCTCCAGTTTGGATCGCTCCCTATCTCAACCTCCACAAAGACCTAGTTCACCCATCACTTCACCCTCCATTCACAAGTCCTTAACAGCGCTGGACGCCAAATCAATAACAAGAGACATGGAGAAATCCGCCTTTCAACTAAGAAGTGATGATGTTATTTCACCCAGTTCACCTAGTTCCAGCACGTTAAATCCAAACAATTTTTACTTTTCGAGTAATCCTGGAAATATGTCGTTCCAGTCGATGGCAGCACCTTCTAATAATGCACCTTCCTTGAACCACTTTCAATATCATCGACAGAATAGTATGAGTAGTGTTACTTTACCCTCTGTTAACCACAACATAAACCCCGTACCAGCTATACCTAATACAATCCAAGGCGATGCATGGCAAACACTATGTGTTCGAGTCTTGCCTTTATTCAACGGAGAAGGCGTGCAAGGTGCTATTGAGGACCTGAATGAATTATTAAGGCGATGTCTATCTGATTCCATCACACCGAAATTTTATCGCGATATAGAAGCTCTTTTGAGAGACGGGATGTTTACATTGAATGCCAAAATGTTTGGCGTAACAGACGAGAAATTACTAGATAGATTAGTCGAACAATGGTCCTTTTTTTTCACTTATGCCTTGCCTTATTTTGAAGCGGTTTTCCTTCCCCTTCGAACAGATGTACGCTATAGATCACCCGACGAAGCAGAAATGTGGAACGTCAGAAATATGGCATTAAGAAGTTTTAGGGATAATGTGATTTTACTACAAACAAAAAGATTAGAAGGTAGGCTTTCTCTATGATGCCATATATATATATATATATAACTAACGAGTTGATTTAGATGTATTTAACAAACTGTTTACGGATTTTGGGTCCTCACAAAACCCTGCTGCAACAGCTGCAAAAATGCTTCAGATGACTTCGTTATTAGCATCTTCGCCAGATCACAATGAGGAAATCGAGCGTGTTTTATCCAACTTGAAAGCCAATTGGAAGATAATGATGACCAAAGGTGACCGCAGAGGATTTGCTGGCGTTAGAAAAGTGAGGCCATTGAATGGTGAGAATCCAACCATGTTTGGCACGCTTCAACAATAACCTGGGGCACTGTTTATACCGAGAATCCGGGTAATATTTCAGATTGGCTTGTAGGGTCAATGCATTGCTCTACTATAACTGCCCCTCTATTATACCTGTCATTTTTTTTTTCACATATCAATTAAAATAGGAGTCTCTTTTTTAAGGCGTTTCATGCAGAAAAAAAAAAGAGAGACAGACAGGTTTTTATTTTTTTTTGTCATTTATTTGATGCATGTGTGTTCACTTTGTATCTGCCTATGTCACTCTGTTTTAATCACTTGTTTGTTATTATTTGGTGTACCCGTCGATCTTGCAGGTGGATAATACACACCAGAAAGTTGGATAAGCAAATGATTGATGGTTGCTTGGTAATGATACCAAAAGTCGTGTTGAGGATGGTGACGTACGGGGGTAACACCTTGTATCACTTGAGCTTTACAGAAATGTGATACGATTCATCTCTTTCTATAAAATATACGTCAGAGGTGAAGCATTGAAAGGTCTCTGTGCGAGGAGGGGGAGGGGGCATGAGAGGGTTAGGGTTAGGGGAAGTGGACGCGAGTCAAGAAGTGAGCCATTTAGTTACAGAAAAGCAACGGATGGGATATTCAAAAAGCGACCAGTTTTTTTTTTCCCAGTAAAAAGTGACCAATGGACGGTAGAAGCACTGTGTTATGGCTTGAGGATATTCAAGACAAATACAAATAAATAAAATAGACCACATGATCACACAAAAAAAGTTCCCTCATTTTGTCATGTCACGTTCCTTTCCCTCCTTTATTTTTCCTCTTTTTTCTTTTTTTCCCTTTTTTTTTTTCTTTTTTTATCTTCTTTATATTAGCAAAAGATGAATGGATTAAAAGGGATAGGTATGTTGAATTGAAATATAAGATGGTGTGAGTTTAGTAACATTTAATCAGAACCGCATAAAGTCACCAAAGTATCTGCAAAAGACGGAAAAACAGGCCAAGAAATTCAGCTTCACTATACCAAATATAAAATTGCTGGAAATGGATCATTTGGTGTTGTTTATCAAGCAAAGTTGTTACAAACAGGTGAGGATGTTGCCATAAAGAAAGTCCTGCAAGATAAGCGATTCAAGGTAACATTCGAGAGAGAGAGAGAAAGAGAGAAAGAGAGGGGCTCAGATTATCATCCAGCCTAACTCAACCATCCTATTTTTCCGTAGAACCGTGAGTTACAAATCATGAAGAGTGTGACCCATCAAAATGTAGTGGCCTTAAAAGCCTTTTTTTATTCCCAGGGCGACTCAAAGGTAAATTACAAGAAATAACTCTTTATATAAACTTCTTCTAAAATAAAGGGGACATCTTTAGAAGGATGAGGTCTATTTGAATCTGGTTTTGGAATACGTACCTGAAACATTGTATCGTGCAACAAGACACTATGCAAAGTCCAAACAGTCTATGCCATCTCTCTATGTTAAATTATACACGTACCAAATATTGCGTTCATTGGCCTATATACATTCTGTTGGCATATGTCATCGTGATATCAAGCCTCAAAATTTGCTTTTAGATCCAGCCACAGGTGTAGTTAAGCTCTGTGATTTCGGAAGGTATTCAATCTTATTTTTACGCCCGCTCATAAATCGCTCATATCTCTTTTTTTTTTTCTGTATTAGCGCAAAAATACTATTACCCGATGAGCCCAATGTATCATACATTTGCTCTCGTTATTATCGCGCTCCCGAGTTAATATTTGGAGCCACAAATTACACCGTGACAATTGATGTTTGGTCTACTGGATGTGTGATGGCTGAATTGATGTTGTCTCAACCTCTATTTCCAGGCGAGAGTGGTATCGATCAATTAGTCGAGATTATCAAAGTATTAGGTACACCTACTAAAGAGCAACTACTGTCTATGAATCCCAACTATACAGAGCATCGCTTCCCACAAATAAAGCCTCACCCATTTGCCAAGGTATTCAAGCCAAAAACTTCACCTGAAGGCATTGATTTTGTAGCCTTATTATTACAATACTCTCCTCTCAAGAGACTATCTGCCATCGAAGCTTTAGCCCATCCTTATTTTGATGAATTACGTGATCCTACTACCAAAATGTTAAATGGCAAGGATCTACCTAAACTATTCAACTTTACAAAACACGGTAAGATATAATATTTTTTTATCAGTGCCATTTATTAATATCTTTCTTTTCCTTGTAGAGCTTACCATAAGACCCGATCTTACCTCCATATTAGTACCACAGGCATAAATCATAGATTTAAACCCTTCCCCTCTGCTATCCATACCCTTCCTCAAACACACTATTTTTTTTTTAATGTAATATATATCTTTTTCTTTTTTTTTTTTTATTATTCCCTTTTACAATTTTTTAGCTTTTCTTTCTGTCTCAAAGATGAGAGCTCGCCAGAACTTCATAACAAATACCAAAGCATCTTCATCCAAAGCCTACGTATACATATAAAAGTGTGAGTAAAAAATCAACATAAAAAAAAAGAGAAAAACTTACGCCTTCTAATTCCGTAACAAGTTCATCAGGACCCTTTCTCTTCTTGATAAAATCAAGTACGAAATTGACCAAGTCATCTTCTTCCATGCCCAACAATTCAACAATCTTTTTGGATACAAAGGGGTGCAATTTTGTATCAATCAAGTCTTGATCCAGTTCATCCCATTTAACAGGATAAGCCCATAAATCCGTTTGAGAACTAGGTATAGATGTGATTAACTCCTTCACTTTTTTTGCTCTTTCTTCGGCCGATAAATCTTCTTCTTCTTCTTCGTCATAGTTTGTCTTGACATTATCAATGTCGCCATAATCCAAGGGCACAAGCACACGACGTTTCTTTTTGGCTTCCTCTTCATCATCTTCATCTCCTCCACCCAATGTGTTACGTTTGATGGGCAAATTAAAGTTCAACTTTCGTGGCTTCAATGCAATCTTTCCATCATCTGCTTCTCTGTTCAAGAACTTACTCTCCTTCTTTTGACGCTCTTCTTCTTCCAAACGAATCTTTTCCTCTTCAATCTCGTGAATTTCACGACGTTTATCTTCCTCGTCGCGTTCTCCTTCACGTCTACGTACACTTTCTCTCATCTTTCTCCAGCGCGACCTATATGTATACATTTCAGTAAGACTGGTATTCATTTATATATATATATAAATATAAATATATATATACCTGTCAGTGTAATAAATTTCTTCGCCCTTTTCTGCTTCAACAAGATCGTCCCAATGAGCCAAACGTTCCAACCAATACTCCTTGTCCTTCATCTCTCGTTCTTCTTCATCGCGTTCACGTTTTAAGTCTCGCTCATAATCACGCAATTTACCAATTTCTCTATGCTCGAATCGTTTCTCCCGTTGACGGTAAGCATTCTCTACATCGCGTTCATGTTTCTCTTTTCGCTTTCGCTCTAATTCCTCATCTGTAATCAAATCTTGTTGCGATTGGTATTCTGTAGGTCCCTTTTGAAAGTCTCTGCGACGATAATCAGGTCTTGCATTCGTCACAGCAGGTCTCTGTTGTTGTTGCTGTTGCTGCTGCTGCTGTTGTTGTTGTTGTTGCTGCTGTTGCTGGTCTTTCTGTACAGCTCGTTCTTTAAAAAATGCTAATTCTTTATTAATGGCGTCGGCATCATTAGGCTCTTGACCTGTGGCGATGGCGTGTACATATTTTTCGACAGTTGCATATTTTTCTTGATCCTGTGTGGCAGTACTCACTTGTTGTTTAGAATGGGTGTATGATTCCAGGTAGTTACGCACGGTATCGTCTGCTTTTACAATCAGTTTCTTTTCTACTCCACTGCCGTCCATGGCTTTTAATGTCACACCCTCTGTGCTCTCACCACCCAAGACACGTAAAGCGCATAAAACACTGTCGGGATCGGCGTACGTGGCGAATCCAAAGCCCTTGGGGTTGCCTGAGGCATCCTTTGTACGTTTCCAATGCATGAGCTTACCACAAGTCTAAATAAATAAAAAAACATTGTTATAAAAGGAAGTGTCATCTCATGTTTAGGTCAAGTTACCTCGAGTAATTTGACAATCCAGTCGTCACTGACACCAGCAGCAATAGCACCCACAAATAAGGTGGTTAATTTCCCGTTGCCTGTATCTGCTGAAGCTGAAGAGGTAGGAGGTGCAGCAGCATTGTTGACAGGAGGTCGAGGCATAAATTGTGGTTGTCCAAATGGAGGGGGTCTCATACCTTGAGCAGGTGGAGGGAAACGGTTTTGTTGCTGTTGTGGTGGTGGTTGTCCATAAGCTTGTTGTGGTGGTCTAAAACCTAATGTTTTTTATTATAAAGTCAGTCATTCTATATTTATTCATGGGCAATAATGAACATACCATATTGATTAGGTCTATATGGGTCCATTGTACAAAAAGAAAGAGAAAAGGCTCTAAACTCATTTCTATCTTTTTGCGTGTTTGCTTTTACCCCGCTCGCCCTGTCCTAAGCCACACTTCAACACTTGCCCTTACACACACAGAAAAAAAAAATATTGTTTCTTTTTCTTTTTTTAAAACACATATATCAAAAAAAAAATGACCTTTCAAATTGAAAACTTTCCTAGTGTCATCCTTGAAGAATTAGCCTTTATCTTGGAACCCCAAGATTTACTTGAACTTTCTAAATGTTCAAAGTCGCTTTATCAAATATTTATGAGCAATGGTATCTGGAAAAGGTACTTATAGGCGGTTGATATTTATGACTTGTTACTAACTTTAGGACGACTGTAGTAAAACAACACTTGACTTTGGAGATCTGTTTCAAATTTATACCATCATCACCACTGCCACTGGGTTCTCACTCGATCCTGCATTAGCCGAGAAATTCAGCCAAGAGCCAACTGATTGGCGTCGATACTACATTCAAAAGAACAAGACCATTTCAGAAGACGATACAGCTTTAATGGATCAAGCCGATACTGAATATGCCAACGCACAAGCTCATTTAGAAACTTTTCAACAAGAAGGCAATGTTCAAATCCTGGTTCAAGTGGCCTCGAAAATGTTGTGGATTTTGGATGTCTTTCCCGGTCATGCCGGATGTTATTATATCTTGGGTTTTATCTTGTTTGTACTTAATAAGTTGGAAGAAGCTACAATTTTATTGCAAATGGGGCGTGCTGTGGATCCTAGCTTTGAACCTATTGATGGTAAACTGAAAAAAAAAGTAGAGTGTAAAGATGGGGTATGGAAATACTAAATGATCTCGATAATTAGCTTTGGAAGAAGAAATTGAGCGTATTGCTGATGGATATAAAGGCGAAGAAGAACTTTTAGTGGACAACCAAATATCACCTGCATTACACCAAGTCCTCGTGGAAGTCTTTAACAGATTTGATGTGGATAGAGACGGAGCGTTAAATAACAAGGAATTAGATCAGTTTATCTTTACTACAAATGGTGTACATCCACCACCCGCCTTTTTACGTCAAATGGGTTTACGATTTGGAGCTAATAAGAAGGGATGGTTATCACAAGAAGGTTTCTTGGCTTTTTATTTAGAACAAACATTAGATGATCCCTCAGAGACTAGAAATGATTTAGGTGTTCATGGATATGATCCTCAAACCCTCAGACAGAAGATGGAAGAATAAAAAAAAAATTATTATTATTATAATAATAGTGGCATATTGAGTAAATCGTGTACGGTCACTCTACGTTGACAATCAGGATTGAGCATGGCATATATCATATTACGGGCATTCACATTGAGTTTATCAAAGGGTCCATACTGCCGTAACCCACGTTTGCGCAAGTAGATGGGGTAATTCGTATCCGTGCCTACAGCTGCTCCAAACGGAACTCCGTCAAATTGCATACAAAAATAAATAATGCCCGCTGCCCATACATCCACAGGCGCACCCCAATAACCTCCGTCTAAAAATATCTCGGGTGCCATGTACGGTGTAGTACCGCATAATCCATCAGAGAGCCTACTGTGTTCTTGCCACGCTACACGGAATACATCAGCAGAGCCAAAATCAGCTATTTTTAATGTGCCTTGACTAATCAAGAGATTTTCAGGTTTCAAGTCACGATGAGCTACACCCAATGCATGCAAGTAATCGAGTCCGAGTAACAATTGTTTAAAATACATGGCAATATCATCTTGCCCCATTGTGCCTTGCTTGATCAATGCATACATATCTCCTTCTGGGCACTAATGAAAGAGAAATTGTCATTAAAGAAGGGATGCAGCAATATAAACAAAAAAAGAGCACTTACGTATTCCATGACAATACAGTATCTGGTATGATCTTCATCCATCCTAACGAAATCTAGTGTCTTTATAACGTTGGGATGATTTAATGCTGAAGAGATACAAAACTCACTTGCCAGTGCCTTCATATAACTAGAAGAATGCTCTCTTCGCTTCTTTTTGCGAAAGATTTTGACTGCCAATGTTTCCTGACCTCGTTGTAATATCTGTACTGTAGCAGACACGCCTTCACCGATACGTTTATTCTGAAGCATACCATAGGTACTAAGACAACCGTGGGATGGACCGGTTGTATGGAATTTATTAAAGATATTTCGGACCATGGACCACTTGGGTGTGTCATCTTCAGAGTCGTCTTCTTCGTAATTAATGCAGATCTTTTTGCCTGGAGTGGGTTCAATGAAAAGTTTCGCTAGTTCTTGTGGTACAAATGAAAATGTTTCCTTCATCGTCGTACAAAGAATTTGGACAAAAAAATTAAATGTTTAAACACCAAAAAAAAAAAAGTAGGATTTTATAACATATCTATTTTTACCGTCGGGAACAACTATTTTTTTTTTTTTCTTGTTTGTTTCTACCAAACAAATTTTGTGATTAAAGATGGAGGCACCCATTAAACATTATAACCGTGCCGAATACATTGAAACCGTACATTATCTCAACCTTGTCTTAACTGCTTTAAAAAAACTAACTTTTTTTTTAATCTTAAAGGACACTGGAAACAAAGTCAGCAGAAAGTCTGTCATTTGTGGAAGTCAAAATATAATTCTAGGTGGAAAAGTAACTGACCCTTTTGACTACCAGTCTGATAATAATAATAAGAAAAAGAGGCTCATTCTTTAATCGTTTAGACCATTATTCAAACAGACTGTGTTATTCGTGGCGATTTAAGAAGAACAGGTGGAGGTCATGCCGTTGTAATTGCAATCGGTAGATACTGTTTGCTCTCACAAAGTTCAATCATTCGACCTCCTTACAAGACCTACAAAGGGTATTTACAATACGCGCAGGGCACACAAATTCATATCTAATCCAGAACTCCAACAATCATTATATAGCATTTTCAGTTACTATCCAATGAAAATTGGAGATCATGTTACCATTGGCGAGGGAAGTATTGTGGAAGCAGCTACAATTGGATCCCACGTCAATATTGGCAAGAATTGTATCATTGTAAGATATACATCAGTGGAAAAAAAAGAGTTGATTTCCTAAAACATATCTTATCACGCAGGGACGATTTGCCATTATAAAGGACTGTTGTTGTATCACGGATAATACCATCATCCCACCAAATACCGTGGTACCTTCATTCAGTGTCTATTCTGGTTCACCAGGTAAAAAAAAATTATGCTTGATTGAAAAAAAAAAAGAGAGAAATGAATGGCTTTTAACATTTCGAAAAATAAAAATACACAGGAAAATATCAAGATGAATTACCAGAATGCACTCAAGAGCTTTATGAAAACAAGACTAAAGATTATTATGCAAAATTCACACCTAAAGATTAATACCCCCCCCCCCCCCAGCACCTTCAAAATCTCAGTTTATTATTATACACTAATAAATTTGTATAGAGAAATAGATTTAATACGTATGCTTTGCTTTTGAACATAAACATAAAACAAAGCTGCACTTGATGTATGCTACAGTGTAGAACATTCGTGGCTGGTAATTTTAAATTCGTCCAACAATGATCCAGCCACGGGCGTAAGGCAGGCGCGTTTTTTTTTAAAAAAAAAAAAAGCAAACAAATAAAATTTAAGTTACCAAATAGCTTCTACCTAGGGTAATTTTGTCATCTACATGTATATATTCTAAATAAATTCAAGGATTCTTTCGTTTTTTTTTTTTCTTCTTGTTTTTTTTATTTATTTATTATCTGTCATTATCATGAAGTTGATCATAATTGTCAATTTCTTGCTCTTATGTCGACTCGTGCAGTCCTTGGAAAATACCTTTGTCATTGAATTTGATCGACCTGTATCTTCTGTTGCCTCAAAACGAAATGCACTTTTCAAACGATCCATCTTTTATGAACAATTGAATGTGTATAACATTAGCTATCAGATCAGACACGAATATGATGTGATCAATGCGGTTTCTATCCAATTCAAAACTCCTGGCGATTCTTCTGTATTCTTTGAAAAGGCTCTTGGTGTCAAACGTGCATGGCCAGTGGTAAATTAAGCAAATAAAAATTCATATTATACCCATAACTAAAAAAAAAAGAAAAACAATCACTCGAATTATATTAGAATACTGTTTCGAAGCCTGCTGTATTTTTGACAGACAACAAGGATAATGATAGTGTTTCTTCCTTGTTTGGACTTTACAATGCCACTGGTATCACTCGTGTAAGAGATGAATTAGGGTAATCCAGACAAAGACTCAATAATCTATACACATATCTTACCTTTATAAATGCATATATAGAATCACTGGTAAGGGCATCAAAGTAGGAATCATTGATACAGGTGTGGATTATATGCATCCAGCTTTAGGAGGCTGCTTTGGTCCAAACTGCCGTGTCGCCTACGGTTATGATTTTGTTGGAGACGCATACACTGGTGAAAATATGCCTATACCCGACGATGATCCTCGTGACACATGTAATGGACATGGCACCCACGTTACTGGAATTATCGGTGCCAAAGACGATGCATCAAAATTCACAGGAATCGCTCCCCAAGTGACGTTTGGAGCATATAGAATATTTGGTTGCGAAGGCAGTAGTACCGATGATGTGATTATGAAGGCCATGGAAAAAGCGTATATGGATGGCATGGATATTATAAATTTATCTCTAGGTGATGTCGGATGGCCTGAGTCGCCTGCTTCTCTTTTGGCAGATGCTTTGGCGTTAAAAGGAATGATTGTTTGTGCAGCGGCAGGGAACGAAGGGGAGAAGGGGATTTTTGAAGTCGGTTCGCCCTCTCTAGGAAGACATGCTTTATCAATTGCAAGTGTGGATAATACGCATGTACTTTCTCATACTTTTAAAATTGGCGATTTGACAGTTGGTAACTATATCACATTTGAAACCAGTCCCTATTTCCATCAACTTACTCATATTTTGTTTTTTTAGGATATACGACTGCTTCTGGTGCTATATTTAATTTGACTTCTGCGAGTATTGTTTCTGCATCTACCGGGTTTTTAAATGACCGAGATGGTTGTGATCCTTTAACAGTAGATGTTACTGGAAAAGTAGTGCTTATGAATCGAGGTGGATGTATGTTTACACAAAAGATTTTGAATGCGCAAGATGCTGGTGCTATCGGTGTAATTATTTATAACAATCATCCTGGTCCTGTTACACCTGCAGTTCCTGGTAATTCTGTCAGCATTGATTTCGGTGGCATTTCTAAAGAGGATGGTTACAACCTATTCCATTATTTAATGACACAAGGAGAAAAACAAGTCCAGGCCGAATTTTTAGAACAAGACTTGAGCTTTCCTATTCCTACAGCAGGGTCAATTAGCTCGTTCAGTTCATGGGGGTTGGGTCCAGATTTAAGCCTAAAGCCTGATATAAGTGCTCCTGGCGGGCAGATTTATTCTACGTAAGTCTTCCTTTATTTTTGTATTTGTAATTGGACAGCAGACTGAATGTATATTGTTTTAGTTACCCCGTCGATCTCGGTAGATATGCTACTTTAAGCG